AGCAGAACCATTTCTTGCGATCAGGTGCATCATTTCCTTACGTTCTGGTTCAACTCATTTGATTGTTAACCAGTTTCTAGAAAAGACAGATTCTCTTTTCTTCCCAGAGGTGCTGTGAGCGGTTCAGAACTTCATGAAGGAGTCATAAAATTTTTTTTAACAAATGGGCAATATATTCATTTTTTAAAAGAATCCTTAAGTCTGATTTACTCAGCCCAGTTCTACCCAGATTAACCAAGCTAGGACTCTAGGCTCATACGAATTGATTTCTTTATATTTCTTTTTCTTTCTTTCTTTTTTTTTTTTTTTTTTTTTTTTTGGTACCAGGTACTGAACCCAGGGGTGTTTAACCCCTGAGCCATCCCAAGTCCTTTTTTTTTTTTTTCTGAATTTTATTTAGAGACAGGGTCTCGCAGAGTTGCTTAGGGCCTTGCTAAATTGCTGAGGCTGGCCTTGAACTCAGGATCCTCCTGCCTCAGCCTCCTGAGCTGCTGGGCTTACAGGCGTGTGCCACCACGCTGGGCCGGTTTTGCTTATCTAAGGTCTAGAAGTACAGCCTGCGTGTAACTGGGAGAAGAAGAAGAGAAAGAAGGAAACCATTTGAACTCAACATTTAGGTGGCCAGATTAGAAAACAGAAAGCAAACCGATCCCTCTCCATTGTTCATGGGCACGTCTCCATCTGGGAACGCATTCTGGCCGTGGAAACTCGCAGAGAGAGGATACGGGTGACGCAAGGATTTTTCCCTGACCTCCCTTCCGACAGCGTTCTTGGGGTCAGAAAAGCAATGCATGTGCCAAGAGGAGAAAGCCGCTTCTCGTCTTGGATCCGACTCCCAGTCACTGGGTGATGGGGTTATTTCAACGTCTCTGGGCCTTATTTTCTTTATTTTTGAAAATCAGAGGGTTCCTTCCCACTCCTGTGAAGTCAAGGCTGGTTCACTACCAAGACGCCGTGCTCCCTATTTCCGAGTGATGCGCTGGCTCCACCCCCACCCCACGGTGGCAGTCAGGTGTAGGAGAAGGTGTACTAAAGGCTCTAAATACCAGGTCCCTTCAGTCGGGTTCTTTCTTTTCCATGATGACTATAATTCTATCAGTCACTTGGTTCAAAAGGGAATATGGACACAGTCAGGTGGAAAGAGGAGCAATCATCCACTGAATTAAGTCCCATTTTAGACGTTCCTCTCCTTGCTTCAAAGCTAATTGCTCTAGCACCTTTCTTCTCCTTTGTCTGTGTAGACTGGCTGCAATGACCAAGGGACAGCAAGAATAGAATCACCTTCTCCTGCGTGGAAGTGGTTTCTTTTTTCTTTGTACTGGAGATTGAACTCAGGAGCACTCGACCCCTGAGCCATATCCCCAGCCCTAGTTTGTATTTTATTTAGAGACAGGGTCTCCCTGAGTTGCTTAGCAGCCTCCCTTTTGCTGAGGCTGGCCTTGAACTTGAGATCCTCCTGCCTCAGCCTCCCGAGCTGCTAGGATGACAGGCGTGCCACACCGTGCCTGGCTCCTGAATGGAATCAAAACTGAGCCTCACTGTAGCATTGGGATTGCCTAGTACAGGGTGATGGTGCTCACCACGGGGGGGTCCCCAGACCAGCAGCGTGGGCATTACCTGGGGAATGAATCAAAATGCAAATTTTTACATCCTCGCCCAGACCTACCAGATCAAAATCTCTTGCACAGTGCTCAGTATTCTGTATTTTTATAAGACTTCCAAGTTCTCCTGATGCAACAGGGAGTCTCAGAGGCTGCAGAGTAGCCTTGGAAGCCTAGTTCTGCTTCTCACCATGTAAACTTGAGTCACGCAATCTCTTTGGGGAGTCAGTTTCTTTGTCTATAAACTATAGGAATTTGACCTAAGAAACTCCTATGGACTAACTCCCAAATAGCTCTCCCGTCTGTCTACGCTTTTCTTCCCCCTGAGATCTTGCCACCGATATCTCTCACCCAGATACTAGTGATGGCCTCCTGAATGTTCTGCTCCTAGGGTTGGTCCTCAGTAATCTATTCTCCTCGAAGCAAACAGAGTGGGGTTTTTCAAAGCATGAACCAGATTATTCATTCCTTTCTTTAAAATCCTCCTATGGCTTCCCAGGGTACTCTGGGTAAAACCCACCTGCACCAGGCTTGGAAGGTACTATCTGTCACCTGCCTCTGTTTCAAACCTTGGGCCCTCACCCATCATGATTTAGTCACCCTCGTGTCCTTGATGCATCTCAACCGGGTCAGATAGTTTTCTGCCTCAGGGCCTTTGCATGCCCTTACGTTCTGCTTGAAGGTACAACTTCCTGGAAGCCAAGTAACTACTGTATCTTATGAAGCCTTTCTCTTGCTCCTAGTTACTTCCTATCACAACAAACGGATTCTTCCTAACTCTGCCTGCAAAATGAAAATTTCTAGCTCATTCATTCGCTCAAGAGCACCTTGTCTTTTAGTGAGACTTCTCGTGACATATCAGGTCCTGGAGGGCACAGATTTGTCTTGCAGCCCTGGTACCCAGCAGTGCCCGCCCCAGGGTGGGCAACGGAAAGGGATTTGTCGAGTCCATGAATGACGGACTGAAGTCCTCTCAGTCAATTTCTACCTCGAGGAACAAAGATCCGTCACAGTCTTGTTCTGAAAGACAGATCTGTTTTTCAGGAAGTTTTTCAAATGGAAAAAAAAAAAAAAAAAACGGCTGAAAGAGCAGATTGGAACTAGGCCGTGCCGGCCTCGTACAGGGACGAGGGGTGGGGTGGAGATGTTTTGTGGCTGAACTCGGCTGAGTTGTCCTCGTGTGTCCAACCCAAGTGGCACCGGCTGACCCACGGACACGGGCCCCATGGGAACACACTGGCAAGGGACAGGGGCGTCCCTGGTGCTGACCCAGGGAGGGCCAGAGTCCTGCTGCGGCACTCAGGATGTCTTTGGAGAAAGGTGTGAGAAGAAGAGAAAAGGTCCCACGCAGCCAGACCAGGAGGGTCATCGGGCCCCTGTGTGGCTACCCACGTGCAGAGCTGAGAGGTGGAACGTGAAAACCCCAAATCGATCAAGAAACGGAGGTGTCCCAGCCCACGTTCCTGGTGACCTCCTCCCGGAACTAGCACACACCTAAGAATCTCTCCTGTCAACGGAGGCAGGCGGCTCCTGGATAAGTAGTGGGGGTGGCCTGCTCCCCTTTTGGGGGGAATGGACAGACAGTGTGGTGTTAATTGTGATAATCCATTTAACTTGGAGATATGGGCAGCTGGGAGTTGGAAATAGAGCGCTGGGGTAGATCCAGATTAAAAAATAAAGAGAGAGACAGAAAGAGAGTGGAGGGGCGGGGGGAATGACAGCCAAGCACTTAGCAGACGACTTCATTTACCAGGCAGACGCCGTGAGCACCTGAGTTTCATCTCTGGGACAGGATCCCTGAAAAGACACAGCGTTGCTCAGGACCGAGTGACAAGGCCGCCTCTCCATCACGGTCACTGCAGGTGGCGGTCATTTCCAGAGCAGGAAAAATCTCGAACCCCTAGGAAAAGTCGTGTGTGTGTGTGTGCCAAGCCCTGGGTCACAGAAAGTGTCACCTCTTTGTCACCAACAGAAACAGCGGGCTTTTCTCTTAAAAGGGGAATTATGGAGGTGACGATGGCTTCGTTGGATCGGTTGGAGCCGCTTGGATGCCATTTGGGAACCGGCACACCCCCCCGTAAGCGGAGGAGTCTATTCCGTGAAGGAGAAGGGGACGAGGCTCCCCAGTGACCTTTTAAATAAACTCAGGTTTTAAAGTCCCCCAAGACCTAAATGAACTCCCTGAATCTCACGGAATGCATGAATACGTTCATTCCTAGGGTTCGTGGTTTCTTCATTTGACGTTTTCCCAGTGAGTTGACTGCGGTATCAACACCAGATCAGCTACCCTCAGTTAAGAAAGCGCAGAGAACACTTATCACGTCTGTCCTTTGGTACGTACGGGGACACGCACGATCAAAGAGAAAACGCAGGTTTATCCCAACAACTGTTATTTGGCCCCGTCTGGTGAAGAACGTTCCAGAACCCTGAACGCTTACCCTCACCATCCTCCCTGTGTCCGGGCGATCAGAGTCCAGATGGCGCAGAAGGTCATGGATCAAAAAAGGTCCCCCCAGCTGTGGCCACCCGCCACTGCTCTCATCATGGTGACAGGCCACAATGTTGACTAAGACCCTTCTTGAACCGTGACCCATCTGTGATGTTCATCTCCCATACCCCACAGAGAGGGGAGGCAGACGTGGCCCAACTGGACAGAACTCAGTTTTTTTTTTCTTTCCAAATGCCTGTCCGGCGAAATCCTTTGCTGAATTTCAGACCGACACCCTAACCGGGTGTCCAAGACGGACTCAGTGACGGCCACCAGGCTGGACGCTGCACCCGGATCTGATGTTTGGATCAAGGCCGGTGCTTTGATTGGAACAGGAGCAGCTGTTCCTACAGAGTCTTGGGGGGACGGGACAGAGATGTGTCACGGTCCTATCTGAGGAGGACTCCATGGGGACCGCGTGCGTTTTGAAATGTTCACGGTATCACACTAAATAGCGACCAATAAGGACCAGTGACCGAGGAGTCACACAGGCCCTCGGATGAAGCACAGAGCGTTTTTTTTTTTTTTTTTTAATTCAGGAGCAGGAATAACAGATTGTTTCCTGTGTTGAGTTTGCAGCTTTGATGGGAAGACGAGAAACAGGTTCCTCTGAAAGTGTGTTCACACTCACCTCCAACCCCAAACACAGCGGCCTAATTTCTTCCTTTCTGCTCCCACAACATCCTGCCCCCCCACCCCATCCTCACTTTCCGCACCCAGAATCATCCAGGGAAGGCTGATCGTGGAGCCGGCGCAGAGGAATGCACAGGCTTGTTCTGCACAGTGCCTACGAGACCAGCTTCACTGGAAAGTGCTTTTCATATAGGATCTTACATGATTTTTTCTTTTTTTTTTTAATACCAAGACGTCCTACAGGGATCTCGAATGCCAGACTGGAATCGCCCACTCACCATAGAAAGTCAGCTGCCCCCGGGCTACGTTTTTGCCCCTGGAGTTCTCGGCCACACATTCGTAGATGCCGGCGTCCTCCTGCTGAAAATTGGGGATTTCGAGAATTCCATTGGACTTGTGTCTTCTGGCTTTCCTGGCGATGGGCCTCCCGTCGGCTCTTCGCCAGACGATCGTTGGCACCGGGCTGATGGTGGCAAGAACGCAAAGAAGCAGATCGAGTTAGAATCCGTCCCCACAGCCCTTGCCTTCTTGGCTTATAAACATGCAAGCTCACCGGAGTGTTCTCCGAACTTCATTTATTTTATGTTACCACTAATATCATTGAAATCAGCACACTACAGGGACGCAGCCACATCCATGTTCATAGCAGCACAATTTACAGTAGATAAACTGTGGAGCCAACCTAGATGCCCTTCAGTGGATGAGTGGATAGGGAAACGGTGGTATATATACACACAATGGAATATTACTCAGCAATAAAAGAGAATAAAATCATGGCATTTGCAGGTAAATGGATGGAGTTGGAGAAGATCATGCTAAGTGAAGTTAGCCAATCCCCCCAAACCAAATGCTGAATGTTTTCTCTGATATAAGGAGACTGACTCATAGTGGGGTAGGGAGGGGGAGCATGGGAGGAATAGGTGAACTCCAGATAGGGCAGAGGGTTGGGAGGGGAACGGAGGGGGTAGGGGATTAGCAAGGGCAGTGAATGTGATGGACATCATCATCCAAAGTACAGGTATGGAGACATGAATTGGATGTCAACCTACTTCATATACAAACAGAGATATAAAAATTTGTGGTATGTATGTGTAATAGAAATATAGTGCAAAAAAACCCCCACAAAGTACATATATAAAGACATGAATTGGGATGAACATACTTTATGTACAAAGATATGAAAAATCGTGCTCTGTATGTGTACCAAGAATTGTCATGCATTCCACCGTCGTGTAGTCACAAAAATAAAACCAATTTAAAAAATATCATATCCATCTCTGGTATTCTTTGTGTTTTCTTAAACTCAGGTAAGAGTTTAAGGTGTCCGTGAGGCACCTGTGAAGAGCCTGTGACTTTGAGACCACCACACAGAGCCGCCCCAGTGGAACCCTCTGTCTAGGATCTCCGTGAGCTCAGCTTCCAGCATCCTCACCACGACACCAGAAGTAGGGGTGCGACTCTCCCAAGCTCTCAACACCACCGGATCTGTCAGCTTACGGCCACTGGGACCTCAGCGGATGCCACATGGGGCGAGAGTCACCTGGCCATGCCCGGCCTCAATTCTGGACCCATCAACTGGGAGATAATGAGATGCTTATTACCTGAGATGTTTGTCTCTTGTTAGTTGGGGACAACAGAGGCAATACGTTCTTCTTTTTTGGGTACCGGGGATTGAACTCAGGGGCACTCAAACACTCGGCCACCTCCCCAGCCCTATTTTGTATTTTACTTAGAGACAGGGTCTCACTGAGTTGCTTAGCGTCTTGCTTTTTTGCTGAGGCTGGCTTTGAACTCATGATCCTCCTGCCTCAGCCTCCCGAGCCGCTGGGATGACAGGCGTGCACCACAGTGCATGTATGTACCCGTATATTTCATGCCCAACAAGGAAAGTACCCCGCCTTGAGAAACACCGAAATAATAGTAGAAATGACTGAACTCATGGAAATCTGGGAGATACAGCCCACGTGTTGACTTGGAGGAACGGTTCACATCATTTCTATATGGAGAACCTTACCCACTTGATGCATTCCATTTGGAAGGTGGCTTGGAGGGACTTTAATTAAAACAGTGAGATAAAGTCAGCCGCAGTCTGCGAGGGTCTATTATGTGCTCTCAAGACATCCATCATGCCCCGTGCCATAACTGTTTAGCAGACAGCCTAAACTGCAAGGAGGGTAGCGTTGAGCCTGCAAATCGATGGCTTCAGCAAGTTAACCACAGCTTTGAAGACTGCGGCTTCCTAGCAGGGGATATAATCATTTACTTATTTATTTTTTCACAAAAAAAAGAAAAACACTCACCGAGAAGTAATTAGTCGAAAGGACTTGCTAATCTTCTCTGGGAAACCTGAGATGGTATTCTAAAAAAAATTAAAGCCATCCACTCCACTATATTTGTTTTAGAAGGATTTTAAATTCATCAGAGAGACACACACAGAGCTCCAATTGCGGAAAGGCTCTATCGAAAGTGTATGATGGACGGCCTCCCGCTCCAAGGAGATGCACACTTCATCCTGGGCCTTTAAAAATAACTCTACTTATTTCAGCAGCTCCGTGGGCCGACCCAAACATCTCCCCCGTGCAAGACAGGAGCCCAATTTGTGGCCTTTTGTTTTTATTCTAGGAGCCATTCAAGCACGGTGAATAGACTTTAATTCCTAGCCCCCCTTTGATGTGCTAAAGGGAACTGAAGACCTTTCAAGACGTCTCCTTTACCCATCTCACCACACACACAACCCGGATGATCCGGTTACCTGCTCTGAACTCTTCTCCAACTAACTTCACACAGGCCCTTGAAAACAAAGATGAATTTTAAAAACACAACCACGGTGTACTTGGTGAGCAACCTGCTTTAACTCCCTTAGCCATAAATCACGGGTGTTTTCTACGTCTTGCATGTTTTTCAACTTGACTTTAAGTGTCTGTGCGGTGTATCATCCTGCAGGCGTATCATAATTCATTTCAAACGGCAAGTCTTCGGGACATGGAAAAAAAAATATCATCATCGTATTGTACTACACCAAAATAAAGATACTGCTGTGGTTGATATTGCCGTGATTTGGAAACACAGGGGAACCCAAAATAACCCTTCCGTTAGAACTGAATATACAATGAAAAAAAAAAAACAATAAGGAATATTTTCTATGGTTCATGTAGAACACAAAAATCATTAAAAAAAAAAAAAAGATTATAAGCAGCCCAGCGTGGTGGTGCACACCTGTCATCAATCCCTCAGTGGCTCGGGAGGCTGAGGCAGGAGGATCGTGAGTTCAAAGCCAGCCTCAGCAAAAGTGAGGCCCTAAGCAGCTCAGTGAGACCCTGTCTCTAAATAAAACACAAAAATAGGGGCTGGGGATGGGGCTCAGTGGCGGAGTGCCCCTGAATTCAATTTTAAAAGAAATTCTGGCCATTACCTGTGTCTCTCTGGGTGTGGACAGAATCCAAGAGGCACGTGCAGAGTGGCAGAGAAGGGTCCGACTGGCTTTTCAGTCCCCTGCGGAAGCCATCCCCGTGAACAGCCTAAGGAGAACTCTACACCTGCCCCACCCAGCAGAAGGGAGGGACTGTAGGTAGAACTTACTTTCCTAAAGCAAAGCACTCTAGCTTGACGGTGGCTCCTTTGGCAGTCGGGACGGTCTCTGGGAACTGCACTTCGATTTTGGGCTCGTATTCCCCCATCACCCCTGCAAACAAACAGAAGAGCTGAGTCTCAGAGGCTCTGTGGAAACGGACTCAAGTGCTTTTGAGACAACGCAGGCTGCTCCCGCACACCATGAGGTGCTCAGTGAATTCCTTCACTCGAAGCAGGTCCATGAGATTGTGGCCCTGAGAGAAGACTCGGTCTCACAGAGCCACACCATCGGCCTAGGATGATATTCTCTATGCACCCAACTTCGCTTCTCGAAAAAGACTTTTCTAAAGGTGGTCATGAAAATACAGGATTGATAAAGTCTGAGTCACCAAGAAAGTCACCTTTTTTCAGAATAACAAGGTGGAAAAAAATAAAATATGTAAAGGTACCTTAAAAAAAATACTAGCCACCAGGTGCGGTGGCGCACACCTGTCATCCCGGTGGCTCGGGAGGCTGAGGCAGGAGGATCGAGAGTTCCAAGCCAGCCTCAGCCAAAGGGAGGTGCTCAGCAACTCCGTGAGACCCTGTCTCTCAATAAAATACAAAATAGGGCTGGGGATGGGGCTCAGTGGTCGAGTGCCCCTGAGTACAATCCCCGGTATAAAACAACAAAATACAAACAAACATACATATTTTTAAAAAATCAAATTTTTTTTGGTGCCTTCTTTCTGTGATCACAATTTTTACTTTCACTTCCAGGACTCATCTTAATTAATCATTAATTAGTGCGTGCAAAGTAGCATCAAAAGCTTGAGTTGTTATTGTACTCTGAACCCATGTAAAAATAAGAAGCATCTACAGGAAAAAAAAAAAAGAAAAAACCTTTCAGTTCTGACAGCCTTAACCCATGGCTGACCTTGAAAGCCTTCTCTCCCGCTTTGGTGCATCCTAAGTACTTACCGATTCTTCCCTATCCGTACCTTCTAGGCTCTGTCTACTGTCTCTCTCCTTGTTTTGATACAGTCATTCCTGTCCCGTTTCGGGTCGCTCTCCTTGATGTCTGACTCAGCAGTGCCAGTAAAGTATCTGCCATCACCTAGATCACTCTGCCATTGTCCTGACTCTGCACTGCATCGCTCCCCTGGGCTCCCCATCGGGATCCAGAAGGATCCCTTCCTTCTGCAACTAGGCTGCAGCCTCAAAGGCGTGCAACCAGCCAGTGAACCAGGGTTCAAGGTAAAAACTCATCTCCATCTTTCACTCGGGTCCTTTCGTCACTGCAGCGGATGACCCTCTACAACTCCAGCCCACGGAATCTGGGCTTGACGTGTTCCCAGGACACGGGACTTTCCTCCCGTGGTGGCCCATCTCCGCCTCCTGAGCTGGCTTGCACCTGAGTTTGGCTCTTGCCCAGAACTGGCTGGAGGTGGTGCGGCGCCTGCTGACACCAGGCCTCCCACGCCGCTGCCAGCTTGCTAACAAACGGCCTGATCTGCTGAATCACCCATCGCCCCGTAAATATCAGGGGGATGACTCTGAGCGCAGCCGGCAAGTTCGCACCTCTTAGTGGGGTGCGTGTGGCTGGGTGCCCGAGAGCGGCGCTGATTAAAAACAAAGATGTGCCTTGGGAGCAGCGAGAGGTCTCTTGTCCTCCCAGGGGACCACGTCACTCCGCGCTGCCGTGTGTCACGTTCTGGAGGCAGGTGAGACTCTAAGGTAAAAAAATGCCAGGGACGAGGATGTTTCAGAAGCCACCGCGCGTTTCCCCCAGCGCACCCATTTCTAGAAACGTGACCTTGAGATTGTCCTATGAAAATCATGCCCAGGAGCAAAATCTATGTCACACGACTTTGTTGGACTAAAATATCACCGGAAAAGCGGGGGTCGGAACTGCTACTTCCCCACCCTAGGATCCTGCCTGTGAGGGTCTAGGCTGGGAGCCTGCTCTCCCTGGATGCTGTCCCCATTCTGGCTGCCCCCTGGTCCCCTCCAGGTGCCCTACTCTGTAGCTGGCAGGGGTCTCCAAAGCCCTGTGCCCAGGACGCCTCTGCTGCTTCTGAAGCTCTGGTGGTGGCTGTCAACCTGCAGTGTCCCCTAGCTTGGAGCTGCGGTAGGGGCTGTGGTCACTCGACCTTCTCTCTGTGGGTCTTTCTAAGGACACGAGTCACACTGGACTATGGGCCCAGTCTATTCCACTAAAATCTCCTCTCAGAACTTGTTCTGAGCCCGGTGTGGTGGCACACGCCCGTCATCCCAGCAGCTCAGGAGGCTGAGGCAGGAGGATGGCGTGTTCAAAGCCAGCCTCAGCCACGTAGGGAGGCCCTAAGCCACTCAGTGAGACCCTGTCTCTAAATAAAATTCAAAATACGGCTGGGGATGGGGCTCAGCAGTCCAGTGTCCCTGAGTTCAATCCCTGGTACCAAAAAAACAACAAAAAACTTGTTCTGACTCCTTTCTCACTGTTTTTATGACATTTTAAGAAAATGGCTTTGGTTGAGATTTAACACACATACCAAAAATTCACCCATTTTAAGAGTATGATTCGGTGATTTTTTAGCAATTTCATTGAGGCCTGCAGCTGTCCACATAACTCACTTTGGGACTATCTCTAGCAGCCCAATAAGACCCCCGAAGGCCACCTGCAGTAAATTACCATTGCGGGTCCCAGCCCTGGGTGACCCCTCATCTGCTTTCTGTCTCTATGCATTTGCTCTTCGGGGACATTCCCTATAAATGGAATCACACAAGATGTGGCCTTTTGTGTCTGGCTTCAAGGTTCATCCACCTTGTAGCACGAACCAGACGTTCCTTCCTATTTATTGCAGAAGAGGACTCTACCGTGCAGCGGCACTAGCTGCTCATGATCTACTTGCTGGCTGTGTTAAGGTCTGTAAACAAGTCAAAAATAACACCTGGTATTTTGCCAGAGAAATGTTAGAGTTCGTAAACAAGTCTAAATGGTGCCTGGCAAAATGCCAGAGGGAGTGGTTTGAGAAATAACAAAAGCAAGCCATTAAGTGTGGAGATTCCTTATTGGTTGACTGATGTATCTAGTTTATGCTAATTAGATAAGCTGTGCAAAATGTATAAATAGCTCTGTTGTCGTACAATAAACGGCTCCTATTCCTGCTGCATCAATCTACAGAAGTTATTCGTCACCCCCCGGTTATTATGCTGCAGCCGGACTGCGGCAGGCTGTATTAGTTTCCTACGGATGCCAAAACAAAGAACCCCAACCCGAGCAGTTCAAGGAGAAAAAAATAAAATTATTGCCTCACAGTTCTGAACGCTAGAAGTTAAAAATGGGCATGTTGCTGGACCCAGTGACACAGGCCTGTCATCCCAGTGGCTCAGGAGGCCGAGGCAGGAGGATCGTGAGTTCAAAGCCAGCCTCACCAATTCAGCAAGGCCCTTGGCAATGCAGCAAGACCCTGTGTCTAAATAAAATAGAAGAAAAGGGGTGGGGATGTGGCTCAGTGGTAAAGTGCTCCCTGGGTCCAATCCTTGGTACAGAAACAAAAAACAAAAACAAAAACATTTGATGGGACCTTGCTCTAAGACTCTGGGTTCATACTGGTTAGCTGTTTCTGAGGTTGTGACAGTGGCTGGTTGCCATGTTGTCCTGAGCGGACAAGCCTCTGGGTTGTTCGTATTTTTAGATCTTGGCGATCATGCTCCTGTGAACACTGGTTTTGTGTAACTCTTTTTCTTTTCTCTTGTTTTTTCCCCTTGAATTTCCCCGGATGAAAATCTCTTGCTTGTGTCTCGGCTCGAACGACGCCACCCTCAGAGAGGTATTTCCTGATCACTCTAAAACAGGTCCCTGCCGCTACTCTCTGTTACCATCCTGCTTCTTTCCTGGGACTGATGACAATTTGCACTTCTCTCCTCTGCCTGCCTGTTCCGTCTCTGTCCTCCGTCTGGATGATGAAACCTGTCACGTCAGGTAGATAAGTCTCTTTCACTCCTCGATTCCCACCTTCTATGGCAGTCTCCCTGCTTAATAGGGACTCAGTAAATCACCGCTGACATAAGACCTTTTACAGATTTCAGGGTACGCCTCAAACAGCATCACCGTGTTCCATCTTCTTTACGGTGTCTCTTCCACTTTTTACCTCCTTGAGGAATGAAAATCATTTTGATTTTTTTTCTTTCTACATCCTTCGCAAATCCTTGCGCATTACTAAGAATATATACTAAAAAAATGAAGCGTGATCAGGAGACACGGACGGTGGGTGGGGGCGTTGGAGAAACAGGAGTGGAGGTCATAATAGTTACTCAGCTCAACAGGAATTCAGTTAAACAGGAATGCAGCCCATAATAGTTACTCAGTTAAACCTATTTCTTTCGAGGCGTGGAAGCCGTTCATTAAGAATCGCGGATTTCTACCTCAAGTTCCCTTGAGAAGAACTGTGCAGGTTGTGTATCTGGTCCCATGGAATTTCTGCTCGGTTTACAAGGTGAACCATAATTAAGACTCAACAGGAATAACGGGCCGATCAGTAGTTATCATACGCACAGAGACTTGGACGAGAGGTGGAATGCTATCGGGGTTGTTGAAAAATGTTCATTCTTATAGAACTACTGCTCCAGTTTTAAAGTCATAAAGATGAGGGAAGCAATCGTCTCCAGCTATAGTATAAGCGATTTTTTTGGAATACCCGTGAACTCTCCCATTTAATTTGGTTACGTCTGGCACGAGTTGTGTTTTTATTTTGACGCTTGCTTTCACTTTAACCATCTTGGCCTTTACTCTCTGCATTCAATGGAAAAGTAGTTGCCTTTTTCCTTAAAAAAAAAAAGACCACTAAAAGAGGCATCCATTTTTTTTTTTTTTAAAAGTCGTTCCCTCTATCCACCTGTGCACTACTCTGGTGATTTATGGAACGATCAGGCTAAAAAAGTGGAAACCGAGGGATGAAATTGTTCCACGACACTTTTTCCATCTTCCAGAGTTTTTTACAAGGTGGGAAGATGTAGAGGTTCGGCCGTGACTACGCGACCTAGATGTCTCGGACATAGAGAAGGTGTGGAACCTATTCTCACTCAAACGGAAATATCATCTCAGCCATCTTCATCTTCTACTGTATGATTTGTCGATAGAGGCAACTC